AATTAGTAGTTGCAGAAAAACAAAATTAATATATGCATAACTTGGGATTAAAGCATCTAACAATATGAGTAAAACCACTTCTTTTCATGGAAATTTTTTTGTTATCAAATTTTGTTAATGTTTATAGTGGTTTTATTCAAAACTAGCAAAATTTATTATATTATATTTTTTCTATTTTACAAAAAATGTTAAGACATTTTTAACTCAGACTAATAAAGATATAAAAATCTCTATTTTACTATTTATAAATACACTAAATTAGTTTCTATCTAATTTATATGTTAAAATAAAAAGAAAAATGAAGATTTAATTTTAAAAGCTTCATTGAAAATATATAATAGCACTTTTTGTGAATCAAAAATATTATGTCAAAATGATTCTTTTTGTGAAATAAAGAAAATTCTGATCATTAGTACATCGAATATTAATTTATACTCGTTCTACTGTAGTTTGATTGTTTGAAATACGATTTTATTTTTAGATTAAGAGTTTAAATTTAGAGTGATTCTTACTTTAAAACATTAAAATATAATTGTTTTCATTTTTTAAATAAAAATATTGTTGGGACCGATTTCTCAGAAACTAATACGAAGCTTTCACACCACCAAAGGGATACACTCAATATGAACTCTATCAAACCCGCCCTGATAGATACTAGAGAGGACGTTGCAGACACTCCAAGCCACCACACAAGCCTGGAGTTTGGGCAGGTGATCAACTTCCTAGGGTGCATATTTATTCGGCGGAATATGGAGAGCTAATGAGAAGCCAACCAAAAGTAATATGAATAAAGTCTTGCATGTACATATAGTCTTTATTTAGACTTATCCAATTATCTGTTCGCTTTCTCATTGGTACAAGATTCACAGAATCTCGAATGCTGCATAGATTATATATATAATCTTAGAGTCAGTCAGTAAATTGAATTTTTATAACAAAATTGTTAAATTAGGAGGGTATATTATTGCCTGTCCATATAGTCTTTCTTCAGTTTTAGCCATTAGATAGCTATGCAGGCTTACAGGTTGCATCCAAGTTTAATGTCTTAATCACCAAACCTTCACAGCTGCCAGATAACATCTACTGAGGAGATGCATACATATAAGTATATGATATATATATATATATATATCCGATCTTAACAGAGACGTTAAAAAACTCATGAATATCATCGGTATCGCTGGATATTGGAGAAGTTACAAACTGGAAATATCCAGGATCTTCCTCAAATGAATTGCAACTTGCACACAAATGATTACAATAACAATTGTTTCAAATGAAAGAAAATATTTAATGATTTAACTGAAAATATGACTCATCTCTCCCCGAATATTCAGATTAGTTATCTTGGATAATTTATTTCCCATTTAGATGTAACATGTCAAAAGCAAAGATGCATGCACCAACTTTGAGATCACTAACTTTTATATTATGAAATTAGATTCAATCGCCAAGCAGAGAAACATATACATAACTCTCTCTCCTTTCTCCCACCAAACCACTAACTCCAGATTGATCAATCATCTGGATTTTTCAACCCATTTGTTCAACCCAATGCTGCTCTTCAGTGCATATTGATGGAGCAAATTAAAAGCGTGCATTAGATCATGATAATTTTTTTAATTCAAATTTAATTTAAATAAAAAAATTTGCATTTTTTTTTAAATGTTCGTAAAGTCTAAAAAAGCCTTATAATCCTATTAGGGCCGGGACAGACTATAGAATATAAGCTCACTAATTTTTCTCATTAAACCGTGCCAATTCAAATACATACGAACTTTACAAGTTTCAGGCCAGGTCGGATCGGGCCAGTCCGATTGACTTGGCTTAGTAAAAAAGAAACACTTGCCATTACAGGTAACCAAAGACAAAAAAGAGATAGACTATAAAGTATTTATGGCTGTTGAACAAAAAAAAAAGTATTTATGGCTAACATTAATAAATCTTAGATTTGGATAAAATTTAAATCTCTGGATGAAAAGATAGTGGAAAAAAAAATGAATGAAAACTGACATCTGGATTTCCTTTAAAAAAACAAAATTCTCAACCTATTGATGAAAAATATTCTATATACTCTGAAACAGTGTAAAAAAAACCTCATTCCCCCATAATCTATTTTTTTTTAGAGCAAACTTTCAGTTTGCTCGTGTTTTTTTTTCTTGTCGAGATTCAGGTTATAACGATGGAAATTATGAACCAGACAGTAGAGGCAACCAATCCTCCTATGAGTGTTGTGGCTATGGACACCGTGGAGCAGATCAGAGAAACAAAAAATTATGCTGCTAGTGTTGTCGAAGTGGAAACCATAAACAATAAATTCAAGTGCTATTGTTGTGGCGGGGGAGAGTCCAATTGAAACCAGAGAAGACAGTAATTATGGTGCTACTAATGTCGGGGGGGGGGGGGGGGGGGGGGGGGGGGGGGGGGGGGGGAGAGTTTTGAACCAGAACAGAGAAAAAGTCTTGATCCCGTTGTTGCGGCAAGGATCGAAGATTACACCATGATAAAAACTTTTCACCAAGTTGGGAAATTTTATTATAATCGTTCGTTTGTTTTTTTTCAGTTCGGATTTGTAATTACGTCAAATCTCATGTGGACACTTACGATATTATGATTATTACTTCAATAAATTGTTTTCTATGGAGTCACCCTGTGAGAGACATTAAATTGAATTTTTGATTTTAAAGACTTTTCTGGGCTTTTGTTTGGTTTAGTATTGGAATCACAATGAAAATGAATTTAATCACATGATAGTTGTTAACGGTAACAGTCAACAGTCACAATCGTTACCAATCGGAGCCAAAGTTAGGTGTATTTGTGGTATTTATGTATTCAATTAAATATTTTATGATACTAGAGTTATTGGTTTGATATATTGTCTTCTTTATATGGAGCCACCAAATGAGATTTAAAATCGAATTTTTAAGTTTCAAAATTTTCCTAGTGGCGTATTTGTTTTTTTGGTTTTCAAATTAGGATGAAATTACTATAAATCATAACCATATTCTAAATTTGATTATATGAATTTGAGTAAGTATTTATGATACTAGAACTAATGTTTGAATCAATGGGTTTTGTATTGCAGTTTGGATCTTGTACAACAAAGAAACCAAGCTGCATATGGCCGAATATGCTTTGTCGTCAGTGCTTGAAGAACATGTTCTATTTGATGTTTTGAGATTTTACATTTGTGTTATGAGAAAAAGTGTTGTGCTTTAGTAATTTGAGTTATGGTTTATAGGTATGGAGAGATAGTAGAAAAAGTTGTGATGAATAACAAGGTTTTGTCCCAAATGTAGGAGCATTTGTAATTGTAGCTATTGCAGATAAATTAAAATATTCATATTATATTGAATTTTGGAAATTAATTATATATTTTTCTAGCTTATCATGTAAATTTTTGTGAACTGTTTTTGTTTTTTTAGGAAGAAAAATGGTAAATACGCTACCAGGCAATTGGTACGACCAGCCAAAGAATTTGGGTACAACAATGCCTCTAAGTTTCTTCAGAATTCTAAGGATGCTGACAGATATGTCCATAAGTTTAAGACGGAAACAAAATGTGCTAACAAAGAAAAGGAAGTGAGAAAAATGTTGAAGACATCAAAGGATAAAGTAACATTAACATCTACTTTTAAGTGTCTACAATTTAGGTATTGAAAACACTTGATTCGTTCTAAAATCTTTTCTATTGTAGAAGAAACAGCTGGAGAAGAAAATAAAATATGAGTTGGCTAAAGGTGAAATGGAGAACAATGGGATTCCGTTGAGCGTTGATCAAAAACTTAGCGATTTTAAGAAAAATGGATGCTGAAACTGAAGAAATATTTACCGAATTGCATAACGTATTAGATATGCAACGTAAGAGTACAAAATTCTAAGCTCATGCGATTCTTTTATAACAAGGTTGCTTATCTTCTAATTTTATGTTTGGAGAGGGTAAGGAGTTCATCATCGCTTCTAAAAAAGTAAATCATTTTTTATCTTAAACTTATAAGTCCTACGAATTTGTTAAGCTTATAAGTCCAACGAATTTTTTTAGATTCTTTAGGTTTTATAACTTTCTGGCTTTTCGATGTATTCCAGACATGTCTCTAATTTGCTGTCAATTATGAGTATATATTTGCTTTAATCTTTTATGTTTTTATGCTTTTCTGTAGTATTCATAGAGGATTGATATTTTCCTCAAATTCTTGTAATTTGAAAGATTCGTTTTATGAAATTAAGGATTGCAGAAAAAGAAAATTAATATATACATAACTTGCATTTAAAGCATCTAACAATATGAGTAAAACAACTTCTTTTCATGGAACTTTTTGATATCAAATTTTGTTAATTTTATAGTGATTTTATCCGAAACTAGCAAAATTTATTTCATTATAGTTTTTCTATTTTACAAAGTGTCAAGACATTTTTCACTCAGACTAATAAAGATATTAAAATCTTTAATTTGCCATTTATTAATACACTAAATTAGTCTTTTTCTAGTTAATACATTAAAATAAAAAGAAAAATCAAGATTTAATTTCAAAAAGTTCATTGAAAATATATAATATCACTTTTTGTGAAATGAAGAAAATAGTAATTATTAATTTATCAACTATTAATTTTTACTCGTTCTACCGTAGTTTGATTGTTTGAAATGCGATTTTTTAAGATTAAGAATTTAAATTTAGAGTGATTCTTACTTTAAAAGTTATAAATCTAATTTATTCATTTTTTATTTATTTTTGTCAAACCACTACTTTCGTTAATTTAAACGATCGGGCAAATAAGCAGAGAGATTGCTTTGCCAATTGATCCACTACAGTATTCTCATAATGAAAAATAAACTTAAAAGATAGAGATCTAAATACATGAGAGAAACAGTAGATGTCCCACAACACCCCATGGAGGTCGGAAAAAGATAAGCCCGTGGTTATGGTTTTAATTAATTGAAGTACATCTGATTCTGCAATCACCGATTGATGCCCTAGTTCCATCACATTTTCCAGAGCCGCTCACATGGCTAAAGCTTCAGCGAGGAGGGGGAACAGACATGCCAAATTGATGGCGAAGCTCCATCCCAGTCCTGCTGCGTTGATGTCCTGTCTCCAAGCCGCATCGGATCTGCAAATGATGATATCTTGATTTTCAGGGGAAGGGATTCGAAAGCTTTTCCTCGGGGGAGCAATGATCGTTGTCTGAGCATCGATCCATTCCTTGGCATCTCCGATTGCTTTTGAGATGAGATCTGAGATAGAGAAATCCTGATCCAAAAATTCCAAGCTATTTCTGGTAGTTCAGAGATTCCAGCAGATCCAGGGGCGAGTGGTCCTTGGACGATTCCCGTTGGTGGTTGATAGTGTAAAGGCTTGATGACCTGCCATCCTGATCAGAAATTCTGAAAGCCAGAATAGACCGTAGGTGAAGCAAAAGGGGCTTCTCTCCACACATTCTGCGCAAATTGGCAGTGAAAAAGAAGGTGTGAGATGGTTTCTAGCTCTCCACATCTTTTATATGTGGGATCAATCGGGATCTGTCTGGATGCAAGTCTTTCATCCACAGGGAGGGCTCCAACAACTGTCTTCTAGATAAAGCTTTTGAGCTTTGGTGATGTATTCAGGGCTCAGACTTCTGGTATCCAATGTAGTCCCTCATTAAGTCCATTAATGGCTGCAAGAAGATTTGGTTCTATGGCTGAAAAGTACCCTGTTTTAGTTGTGTAGGACCCTGACTTGTGCCTTAGTCAGATTCTGTTATCCGGACAGCCTTTATTACTAGTCTTTATCTTCAGGATGGACTCCTCATGGGCAGGTAACACTTCACGGATTCTCTCTATTCCATTCTGTTGAGTTTGGGTGAAACATATCAGCAACTAGTAATTGGCTTGAATTTGATAGCTTCTCTTGATTGAGTGAATAACCAGGGATCATGCCATAGGTTGAATGAGTTACCATTACCAATTTCCCATCCTATATGTTTGGCTATAAGATCTCTGCCAATAAGTATTCCTCTCCAGCCATGGGAGCAGGTCGCTATTGCTTTACAGGTGAGAAATCAGACCCACAATACTTTACTAGAAGGATTTTTGCCAGAAGACTCGGGATTCTCCAATATCTGCTAACTAAGCTTTGCTAGAATTGCATCATTAAAGCTTTGTAAATCTCTAAATCCAAACCCTCCTTTTTTTTGACTTTGTTAGAATATCCCACACTATCTAAGCTATCTTCCCTTTATTTGCTTCTGAGTCCCACCAGAAACAGGTAAGGACTAATTGAATTCTTTTGCAGAGAGACATAGAGAGATTGAATTCTTTTGAATTCTTTTATTTGCTTTTCGTTTTTTAAATAAAGATATTGTTGAGACCGATTTCCCTGAAACTAATACGAAGCTTTCACACCTGCAAAAGGACCTACTCAACATGAATTCTATCAAACCTGCCCTGGTAGATAGCAGACAAGACGTTGTAAAATTTAGTGAACTGTTTTTTTTTAGGAAAAAAATAGTAAAAAAGCTACCGCGCAATAGGTACAACCAGCCAAAGAATCCGGATTCAACAATGCCTCTGAGTTTCTTCAGATATGCCCATAAGAGTAAGACGGAAAGTGCGAAAAGGAAAAAAGAAGTGAGAAAAATGTTGAAGGCAACAAAAGATAAGGTAACATTAAAAGGTCTATAATTTAAGTATTGAAAACACTTGATTTATTCTGAAATCCTTTCTGTTGTAGAAGAGACAACTGGAGAAGAACATAAAATATGAGTTGGCTAAAGGTGAAATGGAAAATAATGGGATTCTGCTGAGCGTTGATCAAAAGCTTGCGATTTTAAGGAAAATTGATGCTGAAACTGAAGAAGTATTTACCGAATTGCATAACACATTAGATATGCAAGGTAAGAGTACAAAATTCTAAACCCATGCGATTCTTTCGTAACAAGTTTGCTCATCTTCTAATTTTATTTTTGGAGAAGGTAAGGAGTTCATCATTGCTTTCAAAACGTACATCATTTTTTTTTTATCTTAAGCTTATAAGTCCTATGAACTTGTTAAGCTTATAAGTCTAACGAATTTGTTAAGGCTTTTTAGGTTTTATAATCTTCCGGCTTTGCGACACATTCGAGACATGTCTCCAATTTGCTGTATAATATGAGTATCTATCTGCTTTAATATTTTATGTTTTTATGCTTTGCTGTAGTTTTCACAGAGGATGGATACTTCTCTCAAATTCTTGCAATTTGAAAGATTCATTTAATGAAATTAAGGGTTGCACAAAAACAAAATTAATATATACATAACTTGCGATTAAAGCATCAAACAATATGAGTAAAATAACTTCTTTTCATGGAACTTTTTGATATCAAATTTTGTTAATTTTTTAGTGATTTTATTCAAAACTAGAAAATATATAATATTATATATTTTTTTTTATTTTACAAAAAGTGTCAATGACATTTTTCACTCTGACTAATAAAGATATGAAAATCTCTATTTTGACATTTATTAATACACTAAATTAGTTTCTTTCTTATTAATAAATTAAAATAAAAAGAAAAAATCAAGACTTAATTCATTGAAATTATATAATAACACTTTTGTTAATCAAAAATATTATGTCAAAATGACTCTTTTTGTGAAACGAAGAAAATACTGATTATGAATTTGTCAAATATTAATTTATACTCATTCTTTTGTAGTTTGATTGTTTGAAACACATTTTTTTAGATTAAGAGTTTAAATTTAGAATGATTCTTATAAAAATTATAAATAGAATTTTTTAATTTTTTAAATAACTATATAGTTGAGACCAATTTATCAGAAACTAATACGAAGCTTTCACATCAGCAAAGGAACCCACTCAACATGAACTCTAGCAAACCTGTCCTGGTAGGTAGCAGACAGGACGTTGCACATACTCCAAGCCACCACATGAGTGTATGGCTTGGGCAGGTGATCAACTTCCTTGGGTGCATACCTATTCAGTGGAGTGCGCAGAGCCAATGAGAGGCCAACAAAAAATATTATGAATAAAGTTTTGCATGTCCAGATAGTCTTTCTTTAGTTTTATCCAATTATCTGATAGCTTTCTCATTGGTACAAGATCCACAAAATCCTGAATGCCGCATAGATTATATATAACCTTAGAGTCAGTCAGTAATTTGAATGTTTATAACAAAATTGTTTAATTAGAAAGGTATATTCTTGCATGTCCATATAGTCTTTATTCAGTTTAGCCATTAGATATCTTTGCAGGCTCATAGGTTGCATCCAAGTTCAATGTCTTAATCACTAAACTTTCAGAGCTGCAAAATAACATCTATGGTTTAGTGTCATCATATATTGAGGAAATGCATACATATATATATATATATATGTTTTTGATCTTAATAAAAATGTTGAAAAACTCATGAATATCATCGGTATCGCTGGATGTTGGAGAAGTTACAAATTAGAAATATCCAGGATCTTCCTCAAATGAATTGTATACTTTCTGTCTGAAGCAAGTTGCAACTTGCACACAAATGATTACACATAACAATTTCTTAAAATGAAACCAAAGATTTAATGATTTAACTGAATTTAGGTCTCATCTTTCCCTGAATATTCAGATTAATTATCGTGGATAATTTGTTTCCCATGTAGATATTACATGTCAAAAACAAAATTTCATACGCCAACTTTGAGATCACTAACTTTCATATTATGAAATCAGATTTAAACGCAAAGCAGAGATACATACACGGAACTCTCTCTTCTTTCTCCCACCAAACCACTAACTCCAGACTGATCAATCATCTGGATTATTCAATTCAATGCTGCTCTTCAGTGCATATTAATGAAGCAAATTAAAAGTATTAAATTGGCGTGCACTAGATCATGATACCATTGCATCATAAAATTATCATCTGTTATTTTATCATTTAGATTGTTATTTCCTGTCTAGTTACATGAAATGACAAATACTTAGTAAGCACTAGTTTGATAAAAGGATTGTAACTTTTACCAGTTAACTATTATTCATGATCATAAAAGTAAAATATACAGAGACGTAGGAGTAACAATAAGTGAAAAAACCGGAGTCCGATATTAACAATACCGGGCTCGGGCTTTAGTATATAAGCCCAATAAAATTGGCATTTTAGGTTTATAGATCTTTGGGCTTAAGCCCGACCAGACCCGAACTTACTTGAAAAGCCTTATATTTGTTTAAAAAAACATAATTTGGTTTTTTTTTTAATTAATCAGAAACTATAGTATTCTAGTTGTATGACTCTCTATAAATCTTTGGTTTAACTGGATTTATATCTCGAATCAACACTTTCTACTATCTAGATTTGAAGCATTTTAAAATTTTGTTGTTGTTTGATATTAGAAATTATATGAATTTAATAAAGCCAAACATTTGTTTTTAACTTGAATTGTATTTGATAAAACTATATGAATGATATTTTAATTTAAATTTAATTTTAATAAAAAACTTTGTTTTTTTTAAATTGTCTGTAAAGTCTGAAAAAACCTTATAACCCTATAAGGGTCAGGACAGACAAGAATATAAGCTCAATAATGTTTTGGGTTAAACCGGGCCAATTCTAATATATACAGATTTTACAGGTTTCAGGCCAGGTCTGACTGGGCCAGCCCGATTGACTTGACTGAGTAAAAAAGAAACACTTGCCGTTACAGCTAACCAAAGAGAAAAAAGAAATAAATCTCTCAATCTCTGGATGAAAAGTTAGTGGAAGAAAAATAAAAGAAATCTGACATTTGAATTTCCTTTTTTTAGAAAAATCTCATCCGGTCAATGAAAAAATTCTATATACTCTAAAGCAGTGTCAAAACAGATGATAAATTTGTGAAGATAGACATGAACTTCTCAATCATGTCTCTGAAGATAGACATTATGCATCTCTGAAAAGTCGCAAGAGCATTACACAATCCAAATGGCATTCTGCCATATGCAATTGTACCATAAGACTTGGGTGTGTAACCATGCGAATTCTGGTTCCCTGTGAAGGTATTCTTCTGATTATTGCTGTTGTAGCTTCTGTTCCACTGCTTATTCCCATACCTTTGACCCTGAAATCCTCCAGCATTGATGAAATTCACATCTTCCTGCTCAATATCCTCTGGATTTTTGAAAGTCTCTACCTCTGCAGCAAAGTGGACTGACTTCTTTCCCACCAAAAGGCTGTGCATACTGTCCAGCTTAGCCTTAACTTCAGCAATCTGATTTCCATCACTCAAACCATCCTGTTTCATCCTCTGAAAATCAGCATTCTTGGTGCTGCTACTGCAGGCCAAGTTTTCTATCAGAGTTATTGCAGCATCAGGAAGGTTTGTGTTGAAGTTCCCATTACTAGCAACATCCAACGCCATCTGGTACTTCCAGTCAATGCCCCTGAAGAAAATACCAAGCAGCTGCACTTGATTGAAACCATGATGAGGACAGTCCCTTTGA